TATACACCAGCAAATAGTGTGCCTGCCAGTGGGAGGTTTATAACACTAGCCGTGACCTATAGAGGAGACGTCTATTTCATTCCTGTACTATATCCATTTTTCTGATTACACTTGTTGGCATGCTATAAGTTTAATATGGGGCACTCCATATTTACTTATTGAGTTTATCTCATAGTTTTCCTTGTCCACCATTTTAGGAAGCGAAACCAAGGATGGGGAAACCACGGGAAGTGATGAGTTAGAAGGCTAGCCATTTCGAGATTGACATAGATTTTAGAAATAAATCCTGATCTTGTAAACTCGACTTTATTGGAGATTTATAATATTAGATCAAATTATAAAATTTGATCTTCAGATTTTGATGGTATCAGATTGTGAATTGGATAAGTTCCGAGCCTTGTGCATTTGTTGGACCCTCTCACGAGTGCACGGCGTCTACCATGTCCTCAGATTTGCGTTCTGGGGCGTGACAGATTTAGTGGTATCAGAGCTTAGGTTGAAGTTAAGAGATTAGGTTTAAATTAAGAGCTTTGGATTAAATTAAGCACCTCCAGATTGAGTGGCATTAGAGCAGATTGAGTGATATCGAGTTTAGATTTAATTAAATACCTAGGTTTAATTGAATACCTAGGATTCGTTTAGAACTTGGCTAGCCAATGAATTTTAGAACCGTGGTGAGACGAGTGATGGGGTTATATAAGGGACGATTCATATTCATGTTGCCTGAATTTTCTAATCCATTTTGATGAGATGGTGATCTGATTGTTCTTGTTTCCTACCTTCATACCCTGTGAACATTCATGAAATTAATCTTGTCCGCCATGTTCTTAAGACCTTGTTTTGAAACTTGGTCATTTTCTGATAGTTTGCACTTGTTTAGACTTGTTACTTGAATAGAATTTTTGTATGCTCTTTTGCCACAATTGTAAAATTTGGGGAGTTGTAGAGATTTTTTGCTACTGATCCTGTCAGTCTCTACAGCATAGCTGGTTGAGAAATTGTTTTGTTTGTCACATGACCAGTGGAAGATGGGCAACCCTCTACTTTGTAAGAGATTCAAAGCTATTTTAGAAAATGTTGTGTGTTTTCTAGATGCGTTTTAGGAGCTGGATAACTTGGTAAATTCGTTGCTCATTATCTTTCTAAAAGTCTTATAGTGAAGCTTCACTTTTTCCATTTGGAGTTTCATGGTCTTTTCTTGTGGGTCATTTTTCTATATTGGTTAATCCAAAAATAATGATCAATTCAATTGAAATTACCGTGTTTTTTGTGAAGATTGGAAAGTTGTCATAAAGTTAAACTCTCTATTATTGCCAATCTCTACATTCTTGATACTTGGAAATTGCTTAAAACTCTTGAAATCCATCTTGAATCTTTCTTGAGATTGCTTTGTACTTGTTCTTGAAATTGAAATCCAAAGGAAACGGATAATGATTTTTGAAATCCTCATTATCTTGATTCTTGTCTGAAATTAATTCTTGCACTGCTCTTGAAATCTATTTTGAATTGTTCTTGAAAACCATTCTTGTCTTGACTCTTGCTCTTGCTCAAATCCTACATATTCTGCTAGTTCTTGTTTAGTATGCCTGCTGATCTTCTTGATTTTTGATTTTGTTCATATAGACACCTCTTTATGAGGGGTGATGATTATTAGAAAATCCCTATATGAGGCATCCTCATTCTTGTCTCTTGCAAGTGTTAGTCTCTATATCCTTGATGTCTTAGCTTTGACTTGACTCTAGGATGACTTGATTGAAAATCTGCTTAGCCTCCATGGGCTACGAGGTGAAGGGGTAATTTTTGAAGTACTTGATTCCCTAGAGTTTTGTTCCAAGTGAAATGGTTCTTTTATCTGGTTGTTTTGATTTTTATTTGCCCTTTTACTTAGAAGACAGTAATCTTCTAAGCATCTTGATCCCAACCATTGCTTTGTTCTGTTAATTAATTCTAGTACTTGAGGTGCTAGATCTTGACATCCTGGTTATATCTGCTCTTGAATCTGTGTTCTGGTTGTCATTAGTGAAATCTCTTTTTGTGGGCCTAATCCTTGAATTCTATTGCTTATTTCATGGTTAACTCTTGTCTCTCAATTTTGATTGCTTGGTTAAATTTGATCTTGATTCTTGGTGAATGCCATTCTATTGCAAAATTTTTGAGGCATTCTACCTTACACTCTTATGTTCCAGTATTTTTCCAGGCATTCATATTTTCCACTGATTTCATTCAAATGCTATTCTGGAACTTTCACATGTCTTTTGATGGGTCTAGCTTTTAACTCTTGTTAATTTCTAAGATCTGTTTCTTGATTCCAGTTGCTTTGTTAAACATGATCTTGGTTCTGGTTAACCTTGTTTTGTGGCAGAATGTATAAGGCATCCATGCACTCATTCATTCATTTATGATTCGTATATCCATTGGATGCTTATCCGTCTTTGATAGAGTTCAAAGTTTTGTTGTACTCATCTTTAAATCCATGCCATTCTTTGCCAACTCGTCTTGTGTTGGGTTCGTAGCGTAACCCCACAATTGTTCTTTTATGGCTTTGGCAGGATTTATTTTTATTCCTTGTGCTTCCCATGTCACCCCAGCCTTCAATAGCTTGTTTCATGGTAAACCCTGGTAAATAGTAATGTTCTGCTTTTTATGATTAGTTGTGGTTGATATTAGAGTGACGCAGCGGAAGCGTAGTAGGTCATGTTCTGTTCATAAGAGTTGGTGAGGCATTTGTTTTGCCTTGGCTTGTGTGAAGCCATTCACCAGTCTAGATGATCCTAGATTTGAGTTTTTGGGACAAAACTCCTTTTTAGGAGGGGTGGATGTAATACCCCAAAAAATTTCTAGAATAAATAAGTGAGTTAGGGACTAACTTATGAGAAAATATTATTTGGGGCTTGATGGCCAACATTTTGGAAGTTGAGGGACTTAAAGAGGGAAAACAATTGGATAAGGATGGCTTCTTTTCTTTTTCTTCTACCTTCTTTCCCTCCTTCTTTAGCCCGATTCTGCTCTTCTTTTTCCCGTCCCCCTACAGCTCCCAAAAACCCCCTCCAAGCCGCCGGCACCAGCCTTGAGGAAACCGGTAGAGAGCTTGATGTTTGGCCTTCTTTTCTTGTTCTAAGACTGAAATGGAACCCATAAATTCTCCCCCCTGCTGGAAAATCCAGATCTGCCCTGCTTTGCTTGGCTCTGTCCGCCGGCTACTCTTGTTGTGGGGGCGAAATTCTTCAAATTCCGATAAGCAACAGCCATGAATCTCCTTTCTCTAGCTTTGAATTGCCTTGGGTTTACCTTAATTGCTCTTGATTTCTCCAATTTTTGGGTAATTCCCGTGAGTCCCCTACACTGCCGCCGACTTCCCCCAACTGCAGTCCGGTTTTTGGCTGCTAAATTTTGGCATGGACAGCCCCTTTAAGCCTAAAATTATTCATTAGCTACTGAGTTGTCCATGAATTATTGCTCTCCATGTGCTGCCCGTGAGAAATGGGGATGAATTTGACAGTATTTAGACCATGATTTAGCTTAATTCATG